CTTCCTCCTGTGATGGCCAGTTTCCATCGGAAAGGTGCACTGCAAGTCCCCAAACCGCTCTTCGTCCCTACCTGCCACCCCCACCCCCCGAGACGGACAGAGAGCCAGCCCGTACCATGATCGGAGGAGGCCTCCTTCCACCCAGGCCGTCGGCGGAGGAAAGAGAGCGCCCGCAAGACCTTCCCTTGCCTAATGCCAAAGATGCTTGCCGGCCCCCAAGACATAAATTTAGCAGCTGGCTTCATGCTGATGCTATATTCATTTCAGGCTCGGGCCGGCTGGCAGGGGTCGGACACCATCGGCGGCGGGGAAAAGGTCAGGTGCGAAGCAGGGGGCTCAGTTTACGCCCAGCTGCCGGCCTAAAAACAGAGGCGGGGCAGACCCCAAAGGGCTTGGAGGAGTGCCCTAGGCATTGGCAGCCCAGTCCGGGGGGGGGAAGTCTGCCTTTGTGACACCCCCCTCCCAAGAGAGCCGCCCCTCCTTAGAAATTGAAGAACAAAAAAATAGAGAATAACTGCCAGGTCCTCGGACGGGTTATCCTTTTCTCATTAACTGGCACTTAAAGTCTCAGTTTATCTTATCTCACCTGAGAACAGCAGAGCTTGAAAAGGGACCCTCGAGATCATCCAGTCCAGCCCTTGTCAAGGAGGCCCCCAGTGGGGGAATCGAACTCCCAACCTCTGGCTCTGCAGCCGGAGACCTCAGACCCCAGCGTAGCTCGCTCTGAGACATTTGCAGGAGAGAGAATAAAAATATTTCTTTATTTAGGGCTGCTTGAAACGACCGGCTTGTTGTGTGTGTTCTGCCTTCTTTAGGGCACGCGTACTTAGCCGTCAACAAACCGAACCGATCAACAGCGAACAAACCACTGCCACCAACCCAGGAAGGAAAGGGAAAAAGCACTCGGCAGAGAGGCAGGGCTCTCTTGGAATTCAAAGGCCGGGAGGGATGGTGCAACCCAGGAAGGAAAGGGAAAAAGCACTCAGCAGAAAGGCAGGGCTCTGTTGGAATTCAAAGGCTGGGAGGCATGGTAGGTTAGTGCTAGACAGGCCAATCATCATCCTAACCTAGGAAAGTGCTTCCCAGCCACACAAGCTACAGACAGTGTGCGAGGGGGGGGTGCAAACCCTATTCCCCACCATTCCTCCTCCGAAAGGTCAGGACGGCCGGGTGGGCAGCCTTCGGACTCCAGCTCCCCTCAGCCCCATGGGGTCTGGGGCAGAGGAGAAGCTGGAGTCGGTAGCCCTTGGACAGTTGGGCGACCATGGGACATGGAGTAGGTAGGGCATCCGGAGGAAACCAGATTCCCCATTGCTGGGTATAGAAACCGGAGGGGAAAGGAGAGCAAGACCAAGGGAAGCAGATTTTTATGATGATGATGATGATGATGATGTAGGGTTATTGCTGTTGGTTTTGTTGTATTTTGTCTTTTTGTTTTCTATGAACGCAACATCGATTTTTTGCCCTTCTTTCTTCACGAATCTCAAGGGCGAGCTGAGCAGGCGGGGGCTTCTTTGGGGGGGCGGCCTTTCCCTTTGCCCCTTTCCCTCCCCCCCCGCCTCCCCGCGTGCAGGTTCCACGGGGTCGTGTGGACGCGTTCCTTGGCGGGCTCGCGTGTTCTCCGCTTGCGGG